ATGTGCATGTATGCATGTACATATGTTTTCATTCCTAATGGGCCAATACCCAGGTATGGAATTGCTGAGTCATAGGGTAGATAAATGTTTAATTTTTAAGAAATTACCAGACCTGCTTATAGGAAATGTGTCTTGATCTTTAAAAGAGATTCATGGATGAAAAGACCCCCTTCCTCTGGGTAAGGTTTTGTGTAGACACAAGACCCAGAACTTGCACTGACACACGGGAAGGAACAGGGTCCTTAATGATTCATTGGATGCTGAAGTAGCCACTCGCAGCTGCCTTCCTTGGAATTATGTGAGTCACTAACGTCCCTTATTATTTCAGTTAGTCTGAGCCAGACATATGGGGTAAAAATATTTTTATAAACGCAACTGAAGCATTACATACATAAGTACATACAGATTAATTTTCACAAACTGAAAGTACCGAAGTAACTGGCCTCCAGGTCAAGAAACAGCATTACCATATCAGGGTGACCTTGAGGAAATAGAGCTCTATCACACATTATCAAAAGTGGAAGTAAAAAAAAAATTTTTTTGAGGCCCAGTTGAGTTCACTGGTGAATTCTGCCAAACGTTTAAGGAATTATACCAATACTCTACAAAAACAAAATTAGAGCCCAGCAGGCATGGCTCAGTGGTTGATCTATGAACCAGAAGGTCATGGTTCAATTCCTGGTCAGAGCACATGCCCAGGTTGCAGGCTTGATCCCCAGTAAGGGGCATGCAGGAGTCAGCTGATCCAATGATGAGAGAGAATCATTGATGTTTCTATCTTTCTCTCCCTCTCCTTCCTCTCTGAAATCAATAAAAATATATTTTAAAAAACAAAACAAAATTAGACTTCCCCATCAGATCCCTCCCTCTTCCTCAAGTTTCCCCTGGCTTCTCTGCCTCCCCCAAACCTCCTCTTGCAGCCTCTTCATCAACACAGGTTTCTCTTCCATATTCTCTCTCCAAACCTCTCTCAGCTTGCATATCTCATTTTAGCAAGGCAAATGCTTTATCATTAATAAAATAGCAATCACTTAATTTTCCTCAAGTTATCCTGGGTGTTAGATGAGGACAGCCAGGAAGGAAACACAACTACATAATAAAATAACCCTGCAAAATGCTTATTGTGCCATTGAATGGGTTGAAAACTAAGGATCAGAAAATAAGTTGTATTCTACTTATGCACCAGGTGACATTGGACATGCGGCTACTTGAGCTTTGGATGTTATTTTATTTGTGAAATTGGTAGGATAATAGCTGCTTTATAGAGCTGTTTGAGGGTTAAGTGTAAATGGTTTATATACATTAAGAGGGGGGTGTAGCAAGGGTCATGTTCTGGGGCTCATGGGATAACTTCTTTCCTGTTTTCACTTAATCAGGAAGGGCTTCTTCCCACCAGACACTGTCAGCTGGAGCACAGAAGATGACTGGTGTCTTGGGAGCCACATGGATCTCTAATGGGGTCACTTGCTGGAGTTTGAAAGCAGAGCTACTACAACCTTCAACTCTCAGAAGACAGGGGGTGAAGGCAACAACTCATGAAGGAAAGCACATCTTCTCTAGAAATCAACCAAATTATAAGAACTCCAACGGGAGTAACCTTGGAGCAATTACATAGGAACACCCAGTGAGAGTAATCTACAGATGCTAATTTTGGCCTTTGGTATAGGACTCACTGCCCCTGAGTAGACCTCATGTGAAAAAGAAATGTGGTGAAACATCATAGAAGACAATGAGCCAACTGTAAATGAATAATAGTTTGGATGAATCAGCAGATTTAATGGCTATGGCTTCTCTTCTCAGAGACTGGCCTTTAAAGATACTTAAATTAATCCCATATTAAATTGTATACTCGCGTTCCTCAAAGTTAATCCATTAGTGTATAGCTAACAAGATTTTCCTCATAACTATTTATCACTGTACTATTATTTATGTAGCATTTTCTTCCAATAAAGTCCTTAAAATTTGGTTTAGCCTCACTCTATAATTTATATTTCTAATTCACAACAAAATCAATACATAATTATAAAGTGTCTACTCTGAACCACCTGAAACCTATCACCCTTTGGGATACACTTTTTTCTGTCATTGTCTTTGCAGATTTAGCTATCTCCCAACCAATCTCAACAAGTTGTTTTTATAAGGTCTTGAGCTAAAGAATCCTTCCAGAATTCCTTTGCAGAGATGCCCAATGCTTGCTTCTCTTGAACCAAACCTACTTCTCTCACTCTCTTCCTCATCTTAGCCAAGGCTAACTCCACTCTACCTGTTCTTCAGTCTAGAAAGCTTTGGAATCATCCTTGACACTTTTTTTTTTTACAGTTATCTTTATTATTGAAAGTATTACAGATGTCCCCTTTGTTTTTCCCCATTGACCCCCTCTACCCCACACACGCCCCTCCCAGGCCTTCACCACACTATTGTCTGTGTTCTTGTAAGTTCCCCAGTTAATCACTCCCCTCCCATCCCCCACCCCAGCCTTTCCTCTGAAATTCATCAGTCTGTTCCATGCTTCTATGTCTCTGGATCTATTTTGTTCATCAGTTTATTTTGTTCATTAGATTCCATATATGAGCGAGATCATGTGATACTTATCTTTCTCTGACTGGCTTATTGCACTTAGCAGAATGCTCTCCAGGTCCATCCATGCTGTTGCAAATGGTAAGAGTTTCTTCTTTTTTATAGCCACATAGTATTTCACTGCGTAAATGCACCACAGTTTTTTTATCCCTTCATCTGCTGATCGACTCTTATTTCTCACACATCCTTCTAAACCCAATGAGAAATCCTGTTGGCTGTACCTTTAAAATACATCCGTATTAGTCCACTTCACACCATCTCTGCTTCTAGCCTTCTAGTCCCAGTCTCTTGCTTGGATATTACAAAATGCTCCGAATTAGTCTCCCTGCTTTTAAACTTGCCTCTTGGCAGTATGTGTTCCTCATCAAGTCTAGGTGATAAATAGTAGAGGAAGCTTTCTAAAGAACAGATTGTACCACTGCTCTGCTCAAAATTCCCCCAATGACTTCCCGTCTCTCATTTGGAGTCAACCTAAAGTTCTGACCTTGATCTGTAAGGCCTTCCTAACCTCCATGTCCTGCACCTCCAGGGCACACACCTTGACCACATTTCCAATGGCTCCTTCTCTTGCCCTCTCTGCTTACGTTAACCTAGGCTTCTCTTCTTCCTTCAAACCACCAAACACACTCTTATCTGAGGACCTTGATGTGTTATTCCTTTTTCCTGGGATGCTTTTTCCCAGGTATAAGCATGACTTATGCTTTCTTCCCACTTTCTTCAGGTATCTACTGAGGTATTACCCCATCAGAGAGGACCTCTGGATTATACCATGTAAAACAACCTCCTCTCACCTCTTATTTTGCTTTATTCTTCCTTTTAGCACTTATAACCTAGGAAATTATATTTAATTTTATTGTTTGTCTTTCTCCATTTAGAATGGAAGCGTCATGAAGGAAAGGACTTTTGTTCACTACTCTATCATCAAAACCTAACAGAATGCCTGGCCAATAGTAGGCAATGGATATTACTGCCTGACCGTTATAGTCAAGATTCTGGTGTCCAGAAGGAGCAAAACCAGGTAGAAGAGCCTTGGAGCCCAATTACTAGCTAATAAACCTCAGCCGGTAACTCTGCAGCTCCAGTCAGTGGGAAGAAGAGGGAGCCTGGGCAGGAACCCTGTAACCCCAGTTTCCCACAGTTCCCTGTCTATATCCTGCCTGCCTGCAATAGTGTGTTTCCTCCCAGACACTGTACCACTGCTCCCTGCCTTGCACCCACCTGCTCTTTCCCTGGGAGTCCCAGAGTGGACTCTGTTATGGCCTAAAGAAAACCAGGGACTTGCCCTAGGATGGTGTCTGCTATTCTAATCAATTCACCAATAACTGGAAAAGTGCCACTAGCTTTCTGGAGAAATTCTAGGCTTCTGTGCTTTCTGCAAGTGACATCAGTGGAATGACATGGAATTCAAAGAAGTGATCAAATATTAACAGTCTTTGGGCCCGGCTGGCGTGGCTCAGTGGTTGAGCATCGACCCATGAACCAGGAGGTCACAGTTCGATTCCTGATCAGGGCACATGCCCGGTTTGTGGGCTTGATCCCTAATGTGGAGCGTGCAGAAGCAGCCAATCAATGATTCTCTCTCATCATTGATATTTCTAACTTTCTCCCTCTCCCTTCCTCTCTGAAACCAATAAAAATATATTAAGAAAACAAACAGTCTTTGCATTCTTTTCCCTGCCTTTGGTACCTGCTAATCTGGGCCCCAAAGGGTTAGAAGTTTGAACTTTCCCTCTAGGGCAGTGGTTCTCAACCTTCTGGCCCTTTAAATACAGTTCCTCATGTTGTGACCCAACCATAAAATTATTTTCGTTGCTACTTCATAACTGTAATGTTGCTACTGTTATGAATCGTAATGTAAATATCTGATATGCAGGATGGTCTTAGGCGACCCCTGTGAAAGGGTCATTCGACCACCAAAGGGGTCGCGACCCACAGGTTGAGAACCGCTGCTCTAGGAACTCTAGTAATCATGTGATTTGTTTTAATACTGTGATATCGTGTAATACTGCAATACTGCAGGGATTGATGTTTGATTTTTGCCGCAGAAGGATACCAGCGAAAATGTAAACACCCTTATTTGCTTCCCCCAAACTACCAAGATGACCATGTGTGATCAATTATCTTCGTCGAGTTACAGCCTTTCTAGAAAATCAGGGGCATGCCCTCTCCCGGGCTTAACTCATTCATCCAAAATGGCCCTCACAGCTCACTGCTGCTTTGTCCTGCCAAGTCTCCTCTCAGCGGTGTGGCGCTGATGTGGTGGAGAAAGAATTTCACGTTTTCCAAATCAGAGAGGAGAAGCAGGTCTGTGGAAGGAAATAAATGAACCAGGTCCGTGTAAGAAGCAGGCTGTGTCGGTGCAAGTGCAAAATGATGGACTTCAGGTGTGACCTTCCAAGGCTGGTGCAGGGGTTCGCCCAGGAGCAGGCTCAGCTGGAGCGCGTCCTGCCCCGTGAGTGAGTCAGCAGGCAATTAGGTAAGTTGGCAAGCTTTTGGCTTCCTGGGCTAGAGCCTCCAGCCTCCAGGAGTTAACCTGCAGCACTGCTCGGAGGAGCAGGGGCCCAGCGAGGATCCAAAAGTGTCGGGCGCCCTGGCTTGCCGGAGGAACGACAGGCGGTTTTATGAGCAGCTGCGGCAGCAGGCCTGGGTACGTAGCTCTGCTTTGATTGCTAGTGTTCTGTTTTCTCCCGAGAGAACAAAGCAATGGCTGTTCGTGTTTGCAAACAAGATCCCCCGCCCCGCCCAGACACCGAGAAGGAGCCGATGTGTATTAGCCTGCTGTTTAGGATGAAAATAAGGACTAAGGATGGAGGGGGGAGTAGATTCTTCATAGTCATTCCTGTTTCTGATGGCAAGGGCAGGTTTTCTTAATTCTGTCTGGACTCCAGTGCTGTATGTCAGGTCGTTTGAATGTCACGGTTACAGTGGAATTCAAGAGGTATATTTTGGCTGCTCTTTCTGGCAATCTGCACATCTATGTTCAGAGAGACAGATTTGCTTCACAGCGCTGTTTGCTGAGTTGGTGAGGTCAAGTGGCAGAAATCCATTTTCCTGGCTTGTTTTGGAAAGCAAGAGTCATCTTAGGCTTAAAGAGAAAATGTCTCCAAATTTACCACATGTCTGAGTAAACGCAGCAGCATCGTGGATCTAGTCTTTTTTCTCTCTGACAACTCGATGGCTTTAGTCTCAGGTGTAGGCAGCGTGACCTGAAATGACCTCTAGCATCCCAGTTCTGTTTTTGAGTCTACTTCTCTGCACTTGGGATAGCTATTTCTACCGACTGATTAAAAAATATCTGAGATGCAGAGGAGAGGAGAACTACCTGCAAAGGCTTGGATCTGCTGCAGTTCCCAGGACAGTGGGACTTCAGTCAGGTTTGTCTGGGTCTCAGTCCTTCCCACTCTGGCGCTGCAGCATTCTCCACGCAGCTAACGGACCCCGAGGACATTTTCCCGGGTAGCACTCCTGCAGATTTAAAATATGGAATGCAACTTAACAAGTCACTGCTTCCCAGCTCAGTGATCAAAACTGGTCTGAAACTGGCTTGGAATCACCCGGATGATTTCCTTCCCAATGACCATAGCTTCTCTTAGGTTCGCCCAAATTTCTACCCAATGGGAGACTTCGTTTTGTAAATAAGTTTCTCTTTGAAAAACAAACAAAACAAAAAACAAGCACTACCTTAAAACTTAGGTTTATCTTAAAACTTGGGCAGGTTCACGAATACCTTCATAATATTAATATCTTCCCATTTAATACTTCCTTCAAACCCCTCTCCCTGGAGTCATAGAGTTTTTTCAGAATCAAGGGAAGGTGGTGAGAATCAGGAATTTGGGGCCTGGGCTCTGAAGGCAGAGGTTGGTGAGCAGAGGCTGAATGGGTGCCGCAGTAGTGGTCAGGGGGCCAGAGGGGGAACACCAAGCCCCTGAGAAGGGGGCAGCTGGGTGTGAGGGCAGGACCTAGAAGGCATTGTACGCGGCGGTGCAGGTGAAGGTGCCCGCAGACTGCCAGGGCACATGGCATAGCTAGCATCGCAGGGAATTAATTTTCAGCCCCTCAACTTTAATTTGAACTGCTTTCCAACACTTTTCTTTGCACGAGAACTCATCTGAGTTCTGCTTCAGGAAGGAAAGACAAACTTCTCACTGAGCTGGGCACACCGTGTCACATGGCGCATAGAGATCTCCTGGCCACATGCAAAGGGCTGAGCTCAGAACACAGTGCTCCGGAGGGAGAGCCAGGCAAACTGAGATGGACCACGTCTCACTTCACCTCGGCTTCCCACGCCTGCCAAGGGCTCTGAGCCTTGTCCATCTGCCTTCGAATTACCACGGAGTGAGAGCTTATCATGAGGACAGGGTGTGTGTGGGAATACACTTATTGGGAAGAAAAGGAAGTAGATATTTTCTAACAGTAATTCTGATTGGGCGGCCTGATTTGATGAGTTTGATTTGGTGTGGATATTTTCTGTAAATTTAACATGCCAATTTTGCTGTTCAAAGTTTTGCCCAAAACGTATTTAAAATACGTACAAAAAATTAGATGCTACAACTTTTGCAAGTATTTAAGCATATAAGAGCTTTTAAAAATATATAGTTTTTATTGGTTTCAGAGAGAAATGGAGAGGGAGAGATAGGTACAGCAATGGTGAGAGAGAATCATTGATCAGCTGCCTGCTGCACGCCCCCCACTGGGGATTGAGCCTGCAACCCGGGCATGTGCCCTTGACTGGAATCAAACCCCAGACCCTTCAGTCTGCAGGCCGACGCTCTATCCACAGAGCCAAACCAGCTAGGGGACATATAAAAGCTTTTGACGTCATCTTTTAAAATGTGCAAGAGAGCCTGACCGGTTTGGCTCAGTGGATGGAGCGTTGGCCTGCAGACCAAAGGGTCCCGGGTTCAATTCCAGTTAAGGGCATGTGCCTTGGTTTCGGGCACATCCCCAGGGGGGGGGTGTGCAGGAGGCAGCTGATCGATGTTTCTTTCTCATCGATGTTTCTAACTCTCTATCCCTCTTCCTTCCTCTTTGTAAAAAATCAATAAAACATATTTTAAAAAAATAAAATAAAATGTGCAAGAGAGTAGAACATTCTTTTAGCGGTTCCATGAGCAAAAGCTTGTGAAGACCACTGGCATGGATTAGCCTCAAGATGAGGTGTCTGGCAGCAAGGCCTCTGCCCTCAAACTGCCCAGCATCTGCTGCTGGCCTTGTGCCTCCTGCCTGCTTCCTGTTTCCCCACAACTTCAGGGTCCTGCAGGTCCCACTGTGAACCAGCCGGCGGATCTCTCTGATGCATCAGGACTTGCCTAGTCGCCTAATCACCAGAAGGCAGGGTGGGGTGTGCAGTGGCAAAGTTTTCATAAGGCAAGGGTCAAAGAGGAGGGTTTATTCACTGAAGTACTCAGGAGGCTTTCTTTTCCCTAAACCACTCATTGCTTTATTCATTCAACAAACACCCATCCATCTCCTCTTGTGCTGGGCAAAATCGTGAAGAAATTGTCTCGGCCTCCTGTGGGCACTGGGGTTAGTAATTCAATGTGATCGGCGCTGTAATTCCAGGCGGGAACTGGGTTCTGGGCAAGCGTACAGTGGGATGCAATGGAATCAAAGGGTCACAAGGGCAGAGAGGAGGTAGCTTTGGGGCTGAAATGCTGACATGTGGGTACATATTCTTCTTCTTCTTTTTTAATATAATAGAGAGAGAAAGGGAGAGGGAGCGAGAGATAGAAACATCAATGATGAGAGAGAATCATTGATTGGCTGCTTCCTGCACACCCCTGACTGGGGATCGAGCCTGCAACCTGGGCATGTGTCCTGATCCAGAATTGAGCCGTGACCTCCTGGTTCATAGGTTGACGCTCATCCACTGAGCCACACCAGCTGGGCAGTGAGTATGTGTTCTTCAGAGGAAAGAAGGGAAAGCGTATCCAGGCAGAGGAAGAACTTGAGGAAAGGTCTAGAATGGAAAAGAACAGAGCTGGCTGTGGGGAGAGCCTTGGGGCTGCTCTGCTGGAGCTGTGGTGGGGGGAGGCGAGGCAGAATGGTGGGGTGGGCATGCTCTCTGGACACCTTTGTGACAGGAGGAGGAGAGCAGGTTGGTGTGCTTTCCTAACCGGGACTGAGTTTTTGTCCCCAGCCTGGGCCTACCTCTCTTCGATCCTAGCAAGGCCACTGCTTCCCAGCCCTGGCCTCTCTGCCTCACAGGGGAAATGTGGTCTTGGAAGTCCTGCCCTGCTGGGCACAAGCTGGGGAGGGGCTCTCTGCAAGGACCCAGTCCCTGGCAGCTGAGGGACAAGGGCCACCCTGTCTCGTTCCCTCCATCATCAGGCATATTGTGATCACCTATCATATGTCAAGGCCATGTGATCACTGCAGTTGGAATCAAAAGATGGGAGTTCAAATCCTATGTCTGCAGCTTATTAGCCCTGTGGACTTTCTTGAGCCTCAGGAACTTCATTTGTAAAATCGGGATCCTGTGTGCAAACCTCGGGGGTGGCTGGTGATACTGAGAGGAATAGGAGGGGACTCAAACACCACATTGACCTGCAGTGAGAGACACAACCATTAAATAGAATTACCAGCATAGTGTCAAGGCTAAGAGGAAAAAATAGGGTAAGCTGCAAACTTGCGAGGAATCACTGTTCTGACCATTGACATCTTTTCAGCATTCTGCAAGTTACCCAGCAATGTCACATACTTCTGCTCTGTTGCCTCCACAGTCCTGTGCAGTAGATTCGTGTAGAAGGGTGAGGACAGGCATGTCCCCATCCAATCATCTTTTCCAAAAGAAACAGTTGTGCTGTGAAGGATACCCAGAAGCCTTGCCTCGGGGCTTAAAGCAGAGCTGCCAGGAGCTGGCTCTGAAGGCTCTTCCGAGTAGGCACCTCTCCAAAGCCTCTCTGTGGTGAGAGCTTTGCCAGTCTCCTCATCGCCGCCTCGGAGAGCGAAGAGTCTGCTTCTTTGCCAAGAGGCAAGGTCATGCCAACAGTAGGTGAGAAAAACAGAGATCAGATCAAATCTCTAGTGCACATTCACTGTGAGAGGGAGGAAAGGAACCAAACTAATTTGGATCACGTCCTGGGGCAGGCACTGGAAGTCCTCCTACCATCAGGGTTGAATGGGTTTGCTTGGGGGGAAAAAGGTAATCAAAACTTTGAGATGACCAGTTATCCATCCCCAGGATCAAGACTCCAAAACAGGCCCTAGTCAGTTTGCTCAGTGCATTGGCCCACAGACTGAAGGGTCTCAGGTTCGATTCTGGTCAAGGGCTCATACCTCAGTTGCAGGCTCAATCCCCGGTGCATGAGGCAGGCAAGCAATCAACGTGTCTCTCTCAGATGAATCTCTCTCTCTCTCTCTCTCTCTCTCTCTCTCTCTCTCTCTCCCCCTCTCCCTCTCCCTCCCTCTCTCTTTCCCTCTCTCTTTCTCTCTTCCCCTCCCTCCCTCACTCCCCCTTTCTTCCACTCTCTCTAAAAATCAATGGGAAAATATCCTCAGGTGATGATTAACAAACAAACAAACTAGACTCCAAAACAGGAGGATAAGAGTCAACCCATATCACCAACATTAAATTGGAGGTCACACTAAAGAGATGGAACCCTGACACCCAGGCTCCCTGCAGTAAGGGACACTTTGGCTGTGGCT